TTTCATCCTAAAATGGGGACTGGGATTTGGGAGTTGAATTTCCTAGAAGGGAAAATAACTTTAAACATAGTTCAGTTCAACACTACTAGTTTTCCCAGTGAGATGGGAATTGATCTGTTTAAGGACACTGCTCAGTGCCTAAGGTGAGACGGGAACTCAGGGGTTTTGCTTCTAAATATTGTGCTTTGTCTACAACACCATGTTACCTCTTGTGATCAAGAGTAATTATTGAGCTAAATCCAACAGAGTTTGGGACATTCAACAGGTGAAATCACTCACTTTTTCAACAAATAAATGAAATTTTAAAAAACGATGGAGAGCCCTGGCCGGTTTGGCTCAGCGGTTGGAGCATCCGCCTGCGGTCTGGAGAGACCCGAGTTCGGTTCCCGCTGAGGGCATGTGCCTTGGTTGCAGTTTGTCCCCGGCCCTGGTTGGTTGTGCGGGTGGCAGCCACTCGATGTGTCCCTTTCACATCGATGCTTCCCTGCCTCTCTCTTCCTCTCTCTCCCTCCCACTCTGTCTGTACAAAGGATGGAAAAATGTCCTCGGGTGAGGATTAAAAAAAAAACGATGGAGAGGAGAAACCATTATAAATTAAAAGAGACGTCAGAGCTGTATCAACATATAAAATGGTATCTGTAGACTTTTTTTGACCCTGATGAAAATAAACCAAAAGTAAAACTATATTATTAAGATAACCAGGGGAAATTGAACATAGTTGGTATTCCATAATAGTAAAGAATTATTGTTCACTTTGGTAACTGTGATAATGGTAGTATGGTTATGCTAAAAATAATCCTTATCTGTTAGAGCTATATACCAGTACTTACCAGTGAAATAATCCATCTGGTTATTTGCTTTAAAACACCACAGGAAATAAACACATTTTTTAAAATTCAAGGGTAGATTGGTAAATGTTGACAATGTTGATATTCATTGAGGGTGGGGGTTATTTATACTACTTTAGTGTATGTTTGAGCATTTTCACAATAAAAATGAAAAAAGAAGTAATTATTTGGCTTGTATTACATGTAAGATACCACCAACACACTTCATTCATCAAGTATCCAACTTTTTTTGCCTTTTAAATTGGAGAACAATACAGGAACACCTTATCATAAATCTGTAAGATACAGTATGTTCTGGCTTATGTCCATCTCCAATCTCACTAATGCCTACTACACCAAGAGGGAAAATGATGCTTTGTATTTAATATGTATATAAATAAAATGAATCTGCTGTTAACTATAACTTCTTTCTAAAGTGCTCTTCCCTGTATTCTTGTTCCTTGATTCCATAGCTTAGTAACCATTTTCTTTATATTAATTCAACATATATTTCTGGAATGATGCACCAGGTTGCATTAGGCCCTAGAAATAGCAGATGGAGTATGTAATTTCATACATAAACATATGAAATATTCATATATATATGAAATATATAAATATTAATATAAAAATATATATAACAGAATTGATAGATGTTTTATTAGCTATATGGAGAAGTGCTATGAGAATCCTGAAGAGAAACATGTGATCAAAACCTTGTCCAATCAAGATAGAGGAAGGACAGAATTATCTTTCTATTCTCTCTATAAAATACATTACAAAATACGAAAGGGCAATAAAAGAATATACAACCCCAAAATATAGAAAACAAGCATTACAAAGGTATGTGAGATAGTTAATTTATAAAGATTTATTCTTCTGGATTTGGGGGTGTTTGTGTTGCCAAATATTTCTAGATAGTTTTTTTTTTTTCCATTTCAAATAAATATTCACTTTCATACCCAATTTTGCAATTTTTTTCCATAAAGAAGTCCCCCACATTGTATAAACTTCAAATGTCACACTGCCTGATCTACTTTGGTGCCTGTAATTTGTCAAGCACTGCTCTGGGAACTGAGGCTACATCAGTGAACAAAATAAAGGAAAAAAACTCTCTTATGAAGCTTACATAGTTGGGAGAGACAGACAAAACAAAAACCATAATAAATAAGTAAGCAGTATGTTAGCATTAAGTTGAGGAAGTTAAGGAGTACAAATGAGATAAAACTGCAGTGTAAATAGAGTTGGTCTGAGTAGGCAGGTCTCACCCAAACAGTAACCCTGCGCAAAGACTTGAAGAACTGGTTACCGATAATACCAGTGGAATCTAGTAGGTACAGTGCATACGTTCAGTGAACAACTTCTCCATTATTCGCCTATTCAGGACCTGCTTTATTATATTTGAAGTGAAATAATCCCAAAGACCCAGTAACAAGAGGGTAAAACAGTAATGGTTGGACTAGGGTTAAGAACTAAAACATCATTGGAAAACGGTAAAATGGGGAATATTATATTTACCAGAACATCTTTAGGAAGGGAAATCCCCAAGGGGCACGCCTGTTAAGGGGATGTGACCTGAGTAACTCAGGTTTGTGCTGCCCGGTAGGGAGAGGCGAGGTTGGGACCCTCTCTGGAAGGCTCGGGGCAACAGCAAGCCCGAGGCTGCTAGCAGAGTTGGCCTTTCCCAGCTTTCTCACCCCGCTCACAGCCAACCTTTCCTCTAAACAAAAGTCAGGAACAGAGCTGGACGTGTAAGTTTAAAGGGTCTATTATTGGCCTGTCCTAGAGGTAATAAGAATATAAAAATGGAACTATAATTGTGAACATTTTAAACTTTCGTAGAGCACCGTGTGTTTTTACGAGGCAGACGAGCTATAGTAGAAAGATAAAGGACAAGTCAGGCTAGATATATGAGTTCCAACTCAGCTGATTAGCCTTGGGCAAATCAGAAAGAGAAAAACTAAGTTTTATCATCTATAAATGGGTATAATGATGTTTCCTTTATGACAATTAAATGAGATCATTCTGTTTAAGTGCACTTTTTAATCAACAAATTATCATACACTTGTTTGGCATAGAAATAAAGCTACAAGGTAGTTTTTAATAGCTAGGCAAGAATCATAGTTATGAAGTATATAGTAACTTAAGTTGTAATTATCAATAAGTAGTAAAGATTGTGAAGAACATATTAAAATATCTATTTATAGTCTCTTTACGTAGCTTCAAGAAAGCAATCTAATAGACTTTTTTTTTTTTTTTTTTTAGAGAGAGAGTGGGAGGGAGGGAGAGAGAGAGAGACACTGATATGAGAGAGACACATTGATTGACCCTGAATGGGGTGAGGGATCAAACCTGAAACCCAGGTACAGGTGCCCTTGACCAGAATCCAACCTGAGACCCTTCAGTCTGTGGGCTGATGCTCCAACCATTGAGCCAAACCTGCCAGGGCTCTAGTAAATTTTTAAACATTTTTTGATAGGATGTTAGAACAAGAGACAGACATACATCCTATATCTCAAAAGCTGAATACGTATTTGGTTTTTTTACTCACTTGAATGAATACTGAAGGAGTGACCTTTAACAAATGAAGGTTTAGTATAAAAAATAACTGGCTATTTTCTTCAAATTGCCAGATAGGTAGAATGATTCTTAAATGATACTTCTTGTCAGCAAGAAAGACGATCTCAAGAATGAACAAAAATAGTCTCTGTTCAACAGCTGTGATATCTATAATTTATAAGCTGTGATCAGCTCTCGGATTGTTTTAGTGTCTAAACAAGATGGATGGATGTTTGCCATTTTATCATTTATCACTTCTCAGAAAATAAACTTTTGTTACATCTTGTCCTTTCTGATCAATACATTTCTCTCTTTACATATAAACAGTGTGGTAAGACTTCTTGTTGGAGGAATGTGACCTTGAAATTCTATTGTCACGCACAATATTAAAAATGTTCAACTAATCTTTAAACATTTATTATCAAAGAGTAAATAACTTTTAAGCACTGGAAGATGGGCAACATTAAAGAACAGGACAATAAGAAAGGAAGGAAAGAGGACAGGGGAAAGAAAGGAGGGAGAAATACATAATCACTTCATGACTAAATTCTTGTCAGTCTTTAATGTCTGGGCGTCAGACTTCTAGTTTCCTCTCACCCCTCCCCCTCCTTTTTTTTTTAAACCTCCACTTCTGTCTTTATCACATGTACTCTTTTTTTAATTTGAGCTATTATATTGTCCTTTCTCTTCACAATTTCTCTTTGTCCATATATGTATTAGACTTTCTCTGCTCACTTCATTCAGTTTCCCTTTTCATTTCTCTCACCATCTCTGCGCAGTTCTATCACAGACTATATCTACATTATATATTTGTACATGCATGCAGATACAATTGAGCAAATATTGTGGTTATGATTTATTGGAGAAGTTTGCGTAAATTAGAATTGAGCTCTCGGGAAGACAGGGCGTCTGGCATCTGTAGGACAAAATAATTGATGATTGTAATATACATAGAGAAGGACGATTGAAGAGAGCAAAGAATTTTCTCCGTGTGCCATGTCCTGGTTCAAAAATATTCAGCCCGGGATCCGAGAAACTTCCTTGCGGCCCTCCTCTGCCCCGGGGTGGAGACTCTTCCCCACGGCTGCCTACCCGACGTCCTTCCACTCGCGTGGTCGTTTTACATCCCCTCTGTCCCCACACTCTGGGCCTGTCTCCCTTCTCCAAATTCTACTTCTGCCCTTTCCATTCCCTAGGATTCGGCCCAACCTCACCCTCACATTTTCAGTCCCTTTGGTGTCCCTTACAATAGGTCTCTACTGCCCATCCCGCCCTCGGGGCCCCTTCACCAGGTAAGGGGGCGCCGTCCCTGCACCCCTCCCCGCACACCTGTCGGCCTCGGCCCCACCCCGCCCCATGCTCGGCCCCGCCCTCCATTCCCCGTCCAGCCACCCGGGCCCAGCCCCGGCCGTCGCCTCCTCCCTCCCGGGCTCCACGCACCAAGCCTCCACGCCCCCACGCCCCTCCGTGGGCCCGGCGCGCCCCGCACGCGCTCGTTGGCCTTAGGCACCTGGCCCCGGCCCGGCCCCGCCACCGGTGCACGCCCCCGGCGTCTCCGCGCCGCCCCCCGCACCCCGACTTGCCCCCCCACCCCGCGGGCCCGCTGCACTGTGGGTAGGCGGCGGCACCGAGGAGCCCACGCCGGCGGCGGAGCGAGGCTGCGCGCCGAAGATGGCTGAGAAGCAGAAGCACGACGGGCGGGTGAAAATCGGGCACTACGTGCTGGGAGACACGCTGGGCGTCGGCACCTTCGGCAAAGTGAAGAGTTGAGTACGCTCCCCGGGCTGCCGCCGGGCTGTCCTCGCGGGAGCGCGGCCGAGCTGCGGGAGCCCGCGAGGCGCGGGCGGGCGGGCGCGGGCCTGGCGGCAGGTGGAGCGGCCCCGGGAGGGCGCGGGCGCCGCTGGGCCCCGCCTAGCTCCGCCGTGGCGGTCGGAACCGGGCCGGGGCCGGGTGAAGAGGGACGAGGACGGGGCACAGCGTCGCGGGATCCGGGGACAGCGCCCCGCCGCCTGCCCGGTGCTCGGGAGGGAGCCGGGCGCCTCTCCCCGGACCTCGGCGACCTGTTCTCCGAGACCCGGGGACTGCGCTGTTCCCTAAGGTGCCCTCGGCTCTGCGACCGTGGGGAGCGGGCTGGCGGGTGACTCCCTCACGGATGATTTCGAGTTCCCATTTCGGGCCAGGTGCCCTGTTAGGTGCTTTCCCTGTGATTTCATTGAATCCTTACAGCAACTTGCTGCAGGTGTTATCCTCACCTTGAAGGTGACAAAACGAGGACCCTAGAGGTTTAGGAGCGTGCCCAAGGTCACACGGAAATGGGCAGAACCAGGACGAAGTGTAAAACGCCTTCCAGTTCTGGCCGGGCTGGAGGTCCCGGCCATCCGGATTCTCTCTTGCTCCGGGACCGGGTTGGCAGGGCCGAGTGTGGAGCGGATGTTTAGGGGCTGAGAGGTAGGGAGGTCTTCCTGCTGGGGTGCGAGGGCTGGGACGCAGCTGGAGCGGGTCGGCGTTGCTGAGGACTGCGGGGTCTGGAGGTTGGTTGGCGGGTGTAAAATGGTTCTGGGAGGGCTTCTGGGCTGGCGGGAGCGAAAGGTTCCTTGGGGTCGGACCTCGGAGGGTGTGGGGCTGAGGAGGCCAGAACTGCCAAAGCGGATTCTGCGGAGGTCTGTTGCTGTTGGTGATGGAATTCCATTTTGGGTGCAGAAAAACAGGCAGCTTTAGAAATTTTTTACTTCTTCCTAGTTAAGTATTAAACTTTCCTTTTTGTGTTGTTAACAAGAGTCACATGGGATTTAATTAATTTGTCCTCTCTCCAGAATTCGAGCCAGCTTATTAAAAATACACTTCGTTTGACTGTTGCAAATCCAGAATTATAAGTAAAACGGTGGCTTTCTTCTTTTTTGCTGTAGCAGTGTTGGAGATTTTACTCTGAGGCGTTTCCTTTACCATTCAGATTTTAATCTTAAATTTGTTAAATAGAATAAACTCATTGTATATTTCTGTGGCAAGGATCAGCTCTTATTCCACATCTTTCATTTGTTCAGAAAATACCTATTGAGCATCTATAGTAGTGTGCTAGGTACTGTAGTAGGCGATGGAGATACAGCAAGGAACAAAACCAGATTGAAATCCCTCCTTTTGTGGAATTTATACTCTATAGGGAAGGAGAAATAATACTCACTATATGTATGGAGGAAATGCATCAGAGAGGGAGGCTAGGAAGTTTTGCGAGGTTGGCTGTTTTCAGTGAGGCGGCAGGCGAGGCCTCACAGACAAGGGGGTATTTATGTAAAGACCTAAAAAGTTTGTAAAGTTCTTTGAAGTCCTATGAGGGTTGTGAAGTTCTAGGTTATTTTTGAAAAACCTCATAAGTAGGGTGGATAGTTGGGAAAATATATTTAGAATGAATATAGGAAGATCAAGGGATTAGATTAATGCTTGAAATGTTGTCATTAAATATCATTATTGAGGGCTGTTGTGTTTCGACATTATGAAGTTGCTCAAGCGAACAATGCCTTTGCTATCTGGACATGTACAAGGTATATAACTTACCCTGTGTCCTTCCAAACTGTGTTAAATTTTTTGTTTATTAAAAAAAATTCTTCAACTGTAATCTGAATGTAGACGGAAACATCTATATAATGTGTGTTTTGAAAAAAGAGATTTAAGTTGTGCTTTGACATTTGGTTCAGTTCTTATTCTTCCCAGTGTAGGGTGGAACTGCTCTTTGAGAGCTCCTGATGAGATTCATTCAGTTCTTACCTAAATTAGTCAAGATGATAGAAATTGAAGAAGAATAGATTCGTTTGTGTTATACAAAGGGTGGTTGAAGGAAAAAAAAAAATACTTACAATGTAATGTTAATTCTTTATTTTAAAAGAAGCCTGCATTTTCAAGGTGAGGATGGATAGATTTGGTTTTTGAAGTAGTTATTCTTCATTAGACACCAAGGGATACTTTGGAAGCACACTAAGCCTCTTTCTAGCCAGCAGAATCTCATCAAGGAATTACCTTCTTATTACTTGAATAGCCCGCAGAGTTGGCTTTCAAGAATTTCAGTAAACATTTCACTAATTCCCCAGTTATTTTTGAGATAACCACAAAGATAAGCAAATGGAACTTGCATTGAAAATTTTTTTATCAAGCAATGTTACCTTTTTATTTTCTATTTATTTATTTTTTAAATATGTTTTTATTGATTTTTCAGAGAGAAAGGGAGAGAGAGAAACATCAATTGGCTGCCTCCTACACGCCCCCACTGGGGATCAAGCCTGCAACCCAGGCATCTGCCCTGACCAGGAATCAAACCAGGACCTCTCAGCCCATGGGACAACTCTCATTCCACTGAGCCACACCAGCTGGGCAATGTTACCTTTTTAAAAGTGAGAATATGTTTGCCCTGGTTGGTTTGGTTCCGCGGTTAGAGTGTTGGCCCATGGACCAGAGAGTCCTGGGTTCGGTTCCCGCTAGGGGCACATACCTCGGTTGCAGTTTGTCCCCAGCCCTGGTTGGGGTTGTGTCAGTGGCAGCCAGTGGATGTGTCCCTCTCACATTGATGTTTCTCTCTCTCTTCTCCCCTCTCTCCCTCCCACTCTATCTGAGGATAAATGCATATATATATACATATATATATATAAAATCTCCTTGGGTGAGGATAAAAATAAATAAATAAATAATAAGAATACAAGTCCCAAATGTTGAATTGAATTTTGGACAACGACATGGTCAGTTGGTGGACCTGAGAGTTGTGCCTGTGGTATTTTGGGCCCTTGCTGGGATTGTTTTTGACTCCCATGTAGTGTCAAGGCCTTGAACAAGATATTTAACCTCTCTGGGCCTAGTTTTCTTCTCCAAATGGAGAATACTATACCATGTAATCAAGCTGTCAGGGCCCACAACTTTATCATAAAACTGATTTTTAAAAGATTTTATTTTAAAAAAAATGGTTGTGCTTAATTTTTTCCTTCTGACTTAATGGAAATTTGAATTACTGAAGACCAGAGATGAAATTAGATGTATTGTAGAACAAAAGAAAAAATGTTTGTAACCCTTTAGCAATAAAAGTTACAACTTGATTTAGTTTTTACTATATTTTAAGTACTATATACGGATTTGATTTTATTTGTTTCCCAGAGTAATCCTGAGTTTGGTATTATCTCTATTTTACAAATGAAGAAATTGAGGATCAGATATTCAAGTAAGTTGCCCGAGGTCACAGTGTCTAGTAATTGGCAATCAAATTCAGGGTTCTCAGACTCCAGAGTCTGTGCTATATGGAATGTAAAGTCAAAATGAACAGTATGCTGTCTTGTGAGTTTCAAACCCACAAGGATATACTTTTACATGTTTGTAGATATTTATCAAGGATTGAGAAAATACAATTTAAATGTCTTTATTGTAGTTCACATTTAGGGAGAATAAAATATTTTTTGAAACTCCATATGTATGCTTAAAATTTATATTTTTGTATTCCCAACTTTCATTTCTCAGTCTATTCTTTATGTGATGAAGGTACTGAATTGTAACAATTTTAACGGAAATTTTTTACAAATACTAGGTATTTCAGGTTTTTTTCTTCTTATAAAAGTAACCTTGACTAAGATTACCAGTGACTTTATTAATCATAAAGAGAACCTGTAAAATTATTTGATGTCCTGGAAAGAACATTGATTTCAGAAGGCCCTGGATTAATTAGACCTGGATTTTAATTCCATTGCATTACTAGTTGCATGACTTTTGGAAAACCATTAAACTTCTCTGTACCTGTTTCCTCCTTTGTAAAATGGCAGTAACAACACTTGGCCTACCTACCTTCTAGAATTTTTATGAGGCTTAAATGAGTTGAGGTACATAAAATGGCTTTTAAAAATATAAATTGCCATGCAAATGGATTTTGTGAATAAATTCCGCACTCTCTGTGAGGTGTTAAGTGTTTGCTGTGTTCAGAAATGCCTCTTTCATTTCCATTATCAACCTTGAGACAGTGCTGTAATAATCTGCCCCTATTTTGTGGTTGCCTGCATTAAGGAAAGTTCTAAATCACTAGTTTTATTTGTGTTGTGTGATACTTAATTATTAATGTTCATATTAAAATGCAATATCCATTTTGGATAAGTTCACACATATGGAACATGACCAAAATAAGAATAAAATGGAGATAATGGTGAGGTTCATATATATTACTAGCTGTGATACCATTATAGTAACCTGGTTACTATTTAACAGGAAAGGAGTAAAGGGAAGATTTGATAATATAGGTATGCCATTTATGCAGCTTTGCCAGGAAGCTGCAGTTAACACTCTCCAGGTCTATTCCCTGCAGATCAATGGGATGTGGGAAGGGACTGGACAAAGGCAGTTTAGACACATGCCGCATGCCGAGTAAAGTCTGGGTGACTGGGAGGATGCTTATCTGTCAGTCACACCTGAAAACAGGTAATTGATTAGAATAGGTGTGACTACTGCAAGGGCGTGAAATCAGATATTTAAGCTCCCAAACAAAGGAATTTCCCTCTCCTGCTTGCCGGAGCTCCTGGCTCTCCTGTTGCAGAGGGCACATTCCCCTGAATTTGCCTATGTGGCTCACAGCCATGAGGGACCCACACAGTAGAATAATGGACAGAATCTATCCTGATGTTCTCTGCCGGACTCAACTCCTCTATGCAACAGAAACTGGACACTGGCTCTGCTTCTAGCTCTACTGAACCCTCAGCTACCCTGCTTCCAGTACTGGACTAAGGACATGGAACTTTACAAACTGAGGGATAT